AAACAAGAATCATTCTTAATTTTTACGAGTGAAAGCAAGATTTCATTCACCAATGCAATTTTTATTTGTAAAAATATACACAATCTTTATTTATTTTATTGAAATACAATGAGATAAAAATTCATTTTTTTATAACATGTTTGCAATACAGATAATTAATTAATTATAATCAAGCTGAAATTTTTTGCATCGAAATGGCTTCCTTATTGCGATGGTAATTTAGCGGTAAACATCAGAAGACCGAAAGTTAAAGGCAGAGATTTTAAGCACCGCCTTCAAAAATTCCTGGCCTGGGTGTCCCTGTCAATCAAGTGCGTGAAGGTCCATCATTGGATGCTGGAACTTGATTGACAGTTTCTTACTTGTCCCTGTGTATACCCTGTACACATTGATCGGGAATCGTGGTGACCCTCTAATTAACTTTGACCCTTTGATGTTTACGGAACATGGTTTTATTGAAACTGTATTACTATTAAAATTTTTACATTGATGATATATAATTAAATATACCTGTAATATTTGAAAAGATAATAATATAATATATGCATTTTTTTTATTTACCTTTGGTTCATAAATTTTTTTTCTCAAATGAAATTTCGATATTATTTTTAATATGCTAAATGGTAAACCTGAGGTGGAAATGTTATTGATAAAGTACAGAGCAGCACTGTGTGAAATAATTAAATAAAAAAAGAATGTTTCTGATCATGGGTCACTTACATTTTCTTTTTTTATTCAGATAAGAATTTACAAGCAATCTTTTTAGCATGCTTAATGGTGACAAAGCCTTATTAAGGACAGGAACTTAGGATAAACCTATACAGTGCAGACAGTTTTTGTGAAATGTAGCTCTCTTTTCATTAATTAATTAATAGATGGGATCCTGTGGATGAATGAATTAAGTCTAATTTGGTTGTTACAGAAGTTGTTTCTTTTTTAATTACACTCACACCTAAAACAATCTTTGTTTTAATATTTGAATTTATAGTATGATATCATAATAATTTTTTTAATGGGTAGGGGTGTTTTCAAACAGTCAAAAATAAATCAATATATAATTGAAAATTCTTTTTACTACTAATTTTAAAATTCTCAAAATCCCCAAAACAGGTAAAGTTTGACACTTGGGATATATCACTGTGTATTAAATCACTTCCTGTGTATAGTGATTAGGAGACAGATGACCACAGGTAGACTGCTAGCCCCCAAGGCATTCACACCTGTACAAAATAAGCCACTCCCTCACCTGGAATTTACCACCCGATAAAAAATCTCTGCCTTTAATTTGATGGTGGCCACGCATGTCAAACAAGGTGAAAGAGATATACAAAGGGACTAGAAGCTAACTGTCAATCAATTTCAAGTACCCAATGATGAACCTTAATTTATTTGATTGACAGGGGGATACAGACCAGGTAAATCTGAAAGCGGTGCTTATTATCTCGGGCTTTAAAGGTACTTGGACACAGATTTGAAGTTAATTTTTTCTGCATAATATCATGAATTATATATTTTGAGTTAAAATTTGTGAAAGTGCAAGGATGTGTCAATCAAACCCGCCAAAAAAATTAAAATTTTAATAACTTTTAAATGAAATAAGATTTTTAATTAATTTTTGTGTGAATTGCTATTAAAATATATGTCGTAATATTATAGAGAAAAAATTAACTTCAAATCTGTGTCCAAGTACCTTTAAGTAAAATATCCAAATATGGAACAGATGTGTCCGACTCTGTGGTATCTTATACCTAAAGTTCACTAGAATATATCATATCGACATACATGTAAGAATGGAAATTACCATTATTAATTGACAATAATTGGTTGATATATCTAAATGTTGAGTGGAAGGCCACAGCAAGTGTTTTCTTTTTTTCCCACATCAGATTTTATACAAATTCTGCTTCATATAAAAACAAAAATAGGTCTGCTAGAAACGGGACGCAATTGGTACCAATGGGAATTCCAATTGATTGTTGGAAGACCGGGTCTCCAAAAAACGACATATAGTCAGCAACTCAAGCATTTTTTCGATGTCAACTTCAGAGTAGTTGTGCATCTAATCAACTGGAAAACATTAACCCCTTCTGTGGGTGATAAGGATATATTGGTACGTGAGTAAAGAAAGTCGACAATAGAAAAATTAATCGAAGTCATCACTTTTATCACAATGTTTTGTTGTTAAGGTACCATTAGTTTTTTTTAAGTGAAATATCCAATGACGTTTAAAAGCCTGTAATTTTATTCGTGTGGTATGAATTACTTATACAGCGAAGTTATTTCACTGGTCCCAGTGACTTCGCTATAACCAAACTTTACTGTACTGTGAAATCACTAATATTTCGAGGTTTCCGAGGCATGAAGGGACTCAGGAATTTATGTTCATCATGAAATGTAATTTTTCACAGATATTATTTGTCCCACAAAAACATTGTCTTTTCTCAAATCACAAAAATTTGCCCCCATGAAAATATGTGATTTTACAATGACTCGCGTCAAATGTTGTCTTTCAGTAACAAGTCAATTGTGTCAGTGTCTTGAAGCTTGTATAAAAAAAAAATAATAAATATGGAAACTTATGTATATGTATTATCAAGACTTTTATTATGTTTTCAATTTCAAACATATTCAAAATATAAATAATTCAAAGTAAGTATCTAGTTTATTGGGGGTATATGGTGAACGTAAGATTACAGGAAAAACACGTACAAGAAAAGGAAATTCTTGTTTAAACACCCATTTGTCATTCATATGAGTTTTCATATGTTTTAATCAACCCATAGATTTCTCCAAACAAAACAATGGGACTATGATAAAAATAATTGTATGTTACATCCTTTATAAAAAGACAAAGAAAACATTTTAAAATTTTTGTGTCATTTTTTTTTCTTCAAAAAATTCATTAAGGGGTTTTAGATAGAGACTTGAAGAAAATGATACACAAGACTAGAAGAAAATAATACACAAAACATACATAGATCTGTTAATATAGTCCAACCTTGACATCTGGAACCCAATGGATAGAATGAAAAGTTTGAGATACAGTAGTAGACTTGAGATATTCAGATTAAATGTATATCTGCATGTAAATGAGAAGTGGAGACATTCAACCCATTTTGTCTTATCCATGGTATTCCAGATATCCAAGGTTATCGATAACAAAGTTCAATTGTCTCCTTACTTTAATCAAGGTTTTTTTCTTACAATTTATTTTTCTAAAGATGAAAAGTTCTACAATTATGCCAGTAAACACACTAAGCTTTGAAAAAAAGTGCAATTTCTTGTCATTAAATTATTTACTGAGTGAATTGTGAATGACTTATCAATACCCTGAAAAAAAACATGCTAACATATACAGTGTGGCCAAAAGGGACTCCAGAATATAAAGTTATAATATTGCATGAGTAATCAATAAAAATGAAAAATTAATTTTAAAAACACTGACCCTGAATCAAAATCTATGATAAAAAAGATTTAACCTCCTTTTCTAAAAATGTTTTTTCATTAAAAATTTACATAAATGATTGTCAAACAATAGCCCGCAGCACATGCTTAGTGCCCTTGAACACTTAATAATTGTAATACGCCATTTTATGTAAACATTTGCTGCTCTACGTTCTTGCAGAAGTCCATGAATCTGGACAGTATTTAAGCCCATAATTGATTAAACTGAAGAACTATATGCGGTATATTGCATATATTTACCCCCACAAAAGTCAAATTTTGAAAACTTCCTGAAATGTGCTGAATTCAATAAATTGTATTCACAATTTTTGTTTTTATGACATCACAAACTAGTCCGATTTTATATCCTTTTTCAGAAAGAGGACAAAATGGACAAAATTTCAACAATTTTAGCTTTAAAATTTATAGAGCGCAAGTTTGTTCAGGAACAATATTGACATATTTCATTGATATTATCATTCTACACATTATATCCAAATATTGATCCAGAACACACATGCGCTCGGTGACTTTTACTCAAAATATAGACGAAATATGTAAATTTTTCTGTAAAATTCATAAAAAAACTGAAATTTACGTCATGTTTGTGACGTCATTACGTACATATGGCGTCATTACTTATGAAAATATTCAGTAATTTGAAGTCAGCATATACTCCCCTGTTTAAGAACTTAATTAAATATATCTCCATCAAAGTTTGATTTGGGGGGCAAATATTGGTTATTACCGAATAAAGTTCTTTAAGCCTTAATTTTAAATATTTTACCCCTAATAAAATATGCTAACTCTAACCTAACCCAAATTCCCAGGGTGGTGTGAGACTAACCCTAATCAGTCAAATAGTGTATGAGGATATTCTAATCTCATATAATATTGATGCAAAACTAATTCTAATCAGTTGACTAATTTAGCAAAAACAAAAGCGTATCTGATCTCTCAGGTTGGCTCAAGACATTTACAATGTAATTCTTATCAGTGTAGTGCAAGACTAACCAATAATACTGGATTTATGTAAATTTTACGTCATAGTGCAATGAATTTTTTAAAGGAGCCTCAAGAATTACTTGTGATAAAGCAAACTGTAAATGATACCCACATATAGATCTAGCCTAGCTATAAAAATGATTAAAATTGGTCAAAATCATATAAGCTTTACCTCTCTAAACACATGTACATTCAGTCATGTATACCTAATGCTACACAAGGTGAAAAGAAATTAAAACAAAGGGACAAAATCATTAAACCTTTCCATTTCTATGTACATTCATTTTTGTATAATATATTGTACTTCATTTGAAATAAATAAAAAAAAAAATCTGACAAGCTTTTGACTTCTTAATTCATTCATTAATACAAACCCATAAATTATTCCCAAGTGAAAAAAAAATCAAATTCAAAACTACTAGACAAAATAAAACAATTTATCCACTCATAAATACATTCAATGACACATTAATTTTAAATACTAATACTTATTCGGTCTTCTTCTTTGGCATTAGCCCCGGTATATGGACAATTTCCGTAAATAACATGACCCCAATAAAGGTTAAAATAGTTCCAATCCAGTGAAGTGAAGTAAAAGGATTGTTGAAGTAAAAAATGGAGAGAATCAAACTGACAAACTTCCTTAAGGTGACGATTAAGGTGACTGTTAAGGCCGTACACTCCGTCGTCAAGATAAACACACTCCGTATACAGATGTATCTGATTGGTCGTCAAGGAATAAACAAGACTCACTTAAATCTGACAGTAACAAACATTTTGTGACTTTTTTAAAATAACTACCAGTTTCAATTATTAAGTACCCCTGGTATTACACTGGTTGCACATATATTTTTCAGATCAATATGACAAAAGAAACAAGAGGCCCATGGGCCACATCGCTCACCTGAGTAACTTGGGTGATGCAGTTCTTTACCAGATTCCCCCTCTTGCTATACCTATCATGCCCCACTACCCCCTTCCCTTTTATGATTTTAAACTTAAGAATCTACACTACCCCAGGATGCTTCCATATAAGTTTCAGCTTTTCTGGCCCAGTGGTTCTTGAAAAGAAGATTTTTAAAGATTTGTTCTATATATTTCTATGTAAAACTTGGATTCCCTATTGTGGCCCCGCCCTACCCCAGGGGTCATGATTTTAACAATTTAATATCTACACTACCCAAGGATGTTTCCACATAAGTTTCAGCTTTCCTGGCCCAGTGGTTCTTGAGAAGAAGATTTTTAAAGATTTGTTCTATATATTTCTATGTAAAACTTGGATTCCCTATTGTGGCCCCGCCCTACCCCTGGGGGACATGGTTTTAACAATTTAATACCTACACTACCCAAGGATACTTCCACATAAGTTTCAGCTTTCCTGGCCCAGTGGTTCTTGAGAAGAAGATTTTTAAAGATTTGTTCTATATATTTCTATGTAAAACTTCTATTCCCTATTGTGGCCCCGCCCTACCCCTGGGGGACATGGTTTTAACAATTTAATATCTACACTACCCAAAGAACCTTCCACATAAGTTTCAGCTTTCCTGGCCCAGTGGTTCTTGAGAAGAAGATTTTTAAAGATTTGTTCTATATATTTCTTTGTAAAACTTGGATTTCCTATTGTGGCCCTGTCCAAACCCTAGGGGTCATGATTTTAACAATTTAATATCTACACTACCCAAGGATGCGTCCACATAAGTTTCAGCTTTCCTGGCCCAGTGGTTCTTGAGAAGAAGATTTTTAAAGATTTGTTCTATATATTTCTATGTAAAACTTCTATTCCCTATTGTGGCCCCGCCCTACCCCCGGGGGTCATGATGTTAACAATTTAATATCTACACTACCCAAGGATGCTTCCATAAAAGTTTCAGCTTTCCTGGTCCAGTAGTTCTTGAGAGGAAGGTTTTTAAAGATTTGTTCTATATATTTCTTTGTAAAACTTGGATTTCCTATTGTGGCCCCGCCCTACCCTTGGGGGTCATGATTTTAACAATTTAATATCTACACTACCCAAGGATGCGTCCACATAAGTTTCAGCTTTCCTGGCCGAGTGGTTCTTGAGAAGAAGATTTTTAAAGATTTGTTCTATATATTTCTTTGTAAAACTTGGATTTCCTATTGTGGCCCCGCCCTACCCCTGGGGGTCTTGATTTTAAAGGGGGAGGAAATAAGCACCTCCTTCAAAATTACCTGGTCTTAGAACCCCTGTCAATCATCTGAAAATAAGCTTGGGATTGGATACTTTGATTTGATTGACATTTAGTTTGCTGCTGTTGTGTATATCTTGTGTACCTTGTCTGGAGATCGTACCAACCATCGAATTAACTTTCAGGCTTTTGATGCCTACCGCACATGCCAACGTGATAAAGAAGCAATCAAATTGTTCTTTTCTTTTTTAATACATAAGAATATGCCATAAATATAATCAATCTATCAAATAATTAAATAAATGACAAGAAAAATCATGACTTTATAATATATATTATAAATTTAATTTTAAAAGGGAGGATTTCATATCACGATTACAATCGATGATTTTTTATTTTTGTGTCAGAACATGAAGGTACAATTATTCCTCGATTAATTAACAAAATGAACCGACCTGCGTTTGAAGCTAGTATCATGAAATAAATAAAATTATTTTTTAAAACAAGTATGTCAACATTGTAACCTTGTTTATGAGTCAAGCGAATTTATATTTATAAGACAAACCTGTACATGCTGTACGTGTCGCTTTCCCTCAAGACATGGTGACGAAGTTACGATTTAAAAATAAGTTTAAGTTTATAACTGAAGAGAAATGACTCGGAATATAACATCTTGCTTTGTTTGATGTTTGAAATTAATAATGAATCCCAAAAGAAAAAAAAAACGATGCAGATGATTCCATTCCCGTTTCATAGCTGTCGGGGAATCAACCCCGGTCCAAAGCCCTGCCATTTTAACCGACCATGCGTTATGGGAAAATCAAGTAGGCTTTATCTTAAAAAGATTTTTATTTAGACAATGATATTTCTACTTCAACATTTTATTCTCAAAATATCGTTTCTAAGTTTCATTGTTATTTACCGAGAGACTGTTTTATGATTCACTTTCTTCTTTCGTTTTGCGTAGAAGATGTGTAATTTGAATTACTTCCCTTTTTGTCGCCAGATTACAACGACAGATTTTGGTGCTAAATGTATTTTCGTTATAACACTTCATTAAGAAACACACTGTATATAAAAAATGCCGAATTATTAAAAGTATCAATTATTTTCAAAGAAAAAAATTGAGAAGGATTCTGTCTGCAACAAGAAATGCTTTATTTCACATTTCAATTCATGAGCTAAACATGAAAAAAAAAACGTCCTCGGTTTACGAAGTCGTAGGAAAACACATACAGGTAATACACTCAGGGGCTCAGGTACCACCCTGTGTATATAGGTAGTATACACAAGTCAGCGTCATTCCCTCAGGGCTTCTCAGCCGCTTCTATTAAGCTACACTCCACACCAAACTTACCTGAGGAAAACCATACGGTTGAAAACCTCGGCCTTTAACAATTTAATATCTACACTACCCAAGGATGCTTCCACATAAGTTTCAGCTTTCCTGGCCCAGTGGTTCTTGAGAAGATTTTTTAGTGACCCCACCCTATTTTTGTCTTTTCTTGATTATCTCCCCTTGTAAGGGGACTTGGACCTTCATTTTAACAACTTAAACTCCCCTTCACGGTTCACCCAAGGATGCTTTGTACCAAGTTTGGTTAAAATTGGCCCATTGGTCCTTGAGAAGAAGTCGAAAATGTGAAAAGTTTACAGACGGACGGACGGACGGCTAGACGGACGGACAGCTAGACGGACGACGGACAAAATGTGATCAGAAAAGCTCACTTGAGCCTTCGGCTCAGGTGAGCTAAAAAGGTACTCTAACTTAATCTCTAAAAAAGAATGAGTTGTTTTTTTTTTTTCAAGGTAATTTGCAGATTCATTTGCAAAAGCACAATTGCATGAGTACACACACAGTTCCTAAATTTATATTTTATTAACACTTGCCTGATAATAAAGACTAAAGCTTCTACATTTTGCTCTGGTTCAATATGAACATAAATTTTATCTGTACTATTAATGATGTCTTTCAAATCAAACATTTCTTATTCTGCTATTAACTGGATTTTTTCTCAAAGTGCAGTTTATTTTGATGAGAATTTTCAAAGGATACTGGGTAAGTATATTGCCTGCAAGAAAGAGCCACATCTGAGGGACAGAAAATCCCAGGCCTAAACTGACTGGGGCTGAAAAAAGAATCAGAAATATTTAAAATATTAGTCAATACAATGAATACACTTTAAATTATTTTATGACAGAATTCGTTTTAATATGAACTTTCTATAACTGATTCTTTAGCCAAAAGCAAAGGGAAGTAATTCATGTCAGTCAGATGGATCTGAATGCCTGTTGTCAAAAAATACAGTCAGAAGAGCACCTGACAAGGGGTGTTTCAGGGGACTCAGGTTCTAGTCCTGGTCTGGTCCATCAGACCTTTCCCTCACCGATTACAGATTAATAACATAGTGGTCTATTTTTCTTCCACTTATATATCTGATAAATAAAGGTTATTCAAATATCTTCATTTACATGTACATAGAATGAAACAAATTAAAAGAGCCTTTTTTATGATGTGTTGTTGGGTCAAGTTTTAGGTTTTCTCTCTGTTTTTCACACTGCATTTATTGAATGGAGTATCACAGAGAAAAACACAAGAGTTCAGATGATGCACCATTCTTGACTTACTTGTTTGATTAAAAAGTGACACATGATGAGAAATATCAGAAGCTAGAAACACAAATCCTGGTAGAGGAAGGAAGTGCTGAAAAAAAATAAATCTTTGCTGTTTAAAATCAACAGAGCACAGGGAGGCAACTGGTGTTAGTTTAAACAATAACAGAAATTATGTCATATAAATGAATAGTGGCAAATCTAATGTTGTTAGTACATCCTCAACAGATAAGGACAATGCACATTAATTTTACTCTAAATTCCCATCTACTGCTTTCAGGATATTAAACATTATTTTACACTGATTTCTGTAAAATTTAGCCCAAACATTTATTAGCGAGTCCAGCTCTCTTTCTATTGACAATTCCCATTTTATAAAAATTTATAAAAATATTTATATACATTAAAAGAAATCATGGGTTATAATTTTCAAAAATTGACCAGTACAGTGCAAGAAGACAGAGAAATAATAAACTGTTTTAATATTTGCAGTTCTTTGCAGGACCTATAATGCTATTGAATTCAAAACATTTTTCTGTAAACTTGTCCATCTTGTGAGTTAGGTGAGAAGTTTTTTTTCAACAATATCCACTTTCAATTTCTATAACTTTGTTGATAGTCTTTCAGAACTTTTAAAGTTGATCCCAAAGAATGACTAGGGATTAAAGGCTCTGAGTTATTCAGGAGGTTTCTACTTACATTATAGAAGAGAGATTCTTTGGGGTGTTTTCCGTACTTACATTATAGAAGAGAGATTCTTTGGGGTGTTTTCTGTACTTACATTATAGAAGAGAGATTCTTTGGGGTGTTTTCCGTACTGGCCATAAATCTTCTCCTGGAGGATCCCCATTCCTGCCGTCAGGAACAGGGCCACAGTCAACATCACAAGACCTGTCAACATAAAATAAGTAAATGTCAACATTACAAGACCTGTCAATATAAAATAAGTAAACGTCAACATCACAAGACCTGTCAACATAAAATAAGTAAATGTCAACATCACCAGACCTGTCAATATAAAATAAGTAAATGTCAACATCACAAGACCTGTCAACATAAAATAAGTAAATGTCAACATCACCAGACCTGTCATCATAAAATAAGTAAATGTCAACATCACCAGACCTGTCATCATAAAATAAGTAAATGTCAACATCACCAGACCTGTCATCATAATATAAGTAAATGTTAACATCACAAGATCTGTCAATCAAAAATAAGTAAATGTCAACATCACATAGTGAAAAATAAGTAAATGTCAACATTACAAGATCTGTCATTGAAAAATAAGTAAATGTCAACATCACAAGATCTGTCAATGAAAAATAAGTTAATGTCAACATCACAAGACCTGTAAAAATAGGACCACTGTCAACATCACAAAACTAGTACAAGAAAAAAAAACAAAGGCATTAACAACAAGACCTGTTCAACAATGAATCAAAAGGGCCACTGTCTACAACACAAGATAACAGTTCACGATACTAAATCCTTATATAGAGTCCACAACACCAGATACTTGCCTAGACTCCACATGATCTTAACTTAACATCGAATTCTTACAGACCTAAACCGTGCTACTACACCACTCGAACGGTACGGTTCGGTACGCTTTGTGCACGGAACGGTATGCTTTGTGAACGGAACGGTTCGTTTTGTGAACGGTACGGTACGCTTTCTGCACGGAACGGTTCGCTTTGTGCACGGAACGGTACGCTTTGTGGACGGTACGTTTCGTTTCTTGCACGGAACGGTTCATTTTGTGAACGGTACGCTTTGGGAAACGGTATGCAAATGAAGTGGGCGGAGCCTGTTAGCTTTAATTCTTGATTGGCTGCTAAAAATTAATTCATTTTAAATGACTTTTGAAGTACTTAATGCACTTTGGCATTATGTATAGATATGTATTAATATACATAGAACTCGTAAATATTTCCGTGCTTATTTTTTACGCTTGCTGGACCTTCATTTTAAAAAGGAAAAAAAATTAAATGAAATATTTCTTCACTTTAAAATAAAGTTGTAACATAATTAAAAGGAATTAATATATACCGGGTATATACTTGTTTTATACATATAACGCTACGCACATAAATAAATTATTTTTAATTGATTGATTTATAGAAATAAATATGACTATCCCTGCTTCAATTTTATTCCTTGTAATTAGATAATTATGTACATTGTTTTTCATTTTTAAAATTGTAGATCTATTGTTTAAACGTTTGCTTCAGAAGAGGAATATCAGTAAACAAAATAAATACGATAATCAGCAGCAGAAAAACAAAATCAATACAATAACTTCCGAGTGCTTTCTGATGTAACAGAAAACATTCTTTTCACAGACAAGTACATGTATTTATGTTTTCAATAATCCTTTCAATGTAATAAGCAATTATTTTAATAAGTTTTTCTTTATTTTATTAAGTTATTTATTCTTGTAAAGTCTGTAAAAACGATGTTGTGAATGAGAGAGAGAGAGGGGGGATAAGGAGAGAGAGATGCAACCCCTTAATACATTATCTGTAAAAAAATTAATAACTTGTATTTATTCTCATTCTTCGTTTTATTTACATCGCCAAAGTCACAATTAATCAGTCTATGATTCTATTTAATCAACCCATTTACAACTGTTATGCAATGAATAATCCGTTCTCTGTACATGCATGCTGCACGCATGAAATCCTCGTGCATCCCTGTCAATCAAAATGGCATGACGCTAGGTGACTCTGAAAGTCTGTTTACGCAGGAAGAATTTCTCCTGTGATTTGAAACATTCTTCTGGTCAGTTCTTAGTTTACACCTGTTTAAAAAAAATATTGGGTCACAGCCGGAGGGGCGGGGGCGCCGTGTGTTTAACACACCTTTCAAATTATTTAGTTCGGACCACATCAAAGGTATTTAATCACTCAACTGACATCCAGCAAACTCATCTTCCAGGTTTCACCACAACACTGATTACAAATTTACTTCCTAAATTATCCTTTTTCAGACAAAAATAAATAAGCATGTATCCCTAAATTTTAATTTTCTTTCTTTTTTTTTTTTTTTATATTTTTTTTAAATTTTTTTTTTTTACAAAAGCACAATTTAAAGTCATAAAATTGTATAACTATCGCCTTCTAGAGAAGGGGGAGGGTAACAAACATAACTCGTATGGCTTGAAAGAGGATTGATATCTTTTTTAATTTCATTTTATTTAGTAAATTATCTTTTTTCAGACACTAATGAGGATGTTTCTTTTATTTACAACGTACCATTTTGCAGACTTATAAAGAACTTTTAACCAGCTAATTCGTATTGCTTTCTAGAAAGGGGATGGAGGTACAGTGTAACAAACCTTATAATATCTTTTTTTTTTCATTTTTCATGAGATGTATTTCAGAATGAAGTTATATTTATACTGCAGTTTGCACATTTTATTTGCAAGAAATTCGGCTGGCGATTTTTGTATGCAGCGTGAAATTGATCACAGTTTTATTAGTAAGATTATCATCCTTGTCAGTTCAGTAGAAATCTTCACGTTTACCGCATGTAATATTTTCATCCATATTTTACATGATTACAGATTTTCAGTGTAAGTATAACTGCACCAATGATTCGCCTATGGTAAAAATCTTATCAGAATTAATGTAAGAGTCTAATACTGTTCTTTTTTAAATTTTACTTTAGACAGTTTATATATGTTTTAAAATTCTTACAAAATAATTCATAAGTAAAATCAAGCATCTGATATGTACTACATATAAACATACTTACGACAAAAACAATCTTGTATCCGATAAGATTTAATAATTTAAATGAGCAAAATTAAAATCAAAAGTAGAGACAACCAGGGAATTAATTCATGAAAGCGTGCTCTATCTTAGTGGTATTATAGTCTATTGAACCTATTTTTATGTCAAATAAAATTATAGGATTATGAAACATGAATGTACATGTACACATTAAAAAAGGATTTTTTCCCCGGGCACGAGCACGATTATATTGAATTTTGAGGCATCTAATAATATTAGTTTAAATATCTGTATAGTTAAATTACGAATATTTAAATACAACTAATATTTCAAAGGAAATTGATTTAATTTGCTAATATAAAGAAAAAGAAAGACTTCAAAGACGCCGACATTGTTCGAGGTCCACTGTGCCCCGTACGTGTTTTGCGGGAAAACTCGTGGCCTGTACTGTACCTTTGACCACAAACACAACCAGTTGATCTAATTTATAGCAAGTAAGAAATCGTCTCACACTCTGTCTAGTTGTTTTAAAGCTGAAGTTTGCTTCGAGTAGTTTCCTTATTTTTACAGTTGAAGGTCCAGACGCATGATACTTGATAATGGTGTTTCGATCAGGCAGACACAACCTCCGTCCTCCTTTCACAGGCGCCGTAGCGAGAAATAAACCAAAATGACTTATTTGGTCATTACACGATTCAAAAATCATTGGGGGCGTGGTTTGCATAATTAACCAAAGAACGGTACGGTTCGCTTTGTGCACGGTACAATACACTTTGTGCACGGAACGGTTCGCTTTGTGCACGGAATGGTACGCTTTGTGAACGGAACGGTTCGCTTTGTGCACGGAACGGTACGCTTTGTTCACGGTACGGTACGGTTTCTGCACGGAACGGTACGGTTCGTTTCTGAGGTGTAGTAGCACGGTTTAGGGTCTGTACCTAAAGTCCACAAAATCAAATTCTTATCTAAAGTCCACAAAATCAAATTCTTACCTAAAGTCCACAAAATCAAATTCTTACCTAAAGTCCACAACACCAGATCCTTGAATACATTTTCAGCCTCTGTCTCGGGGTCTTTAGATAACTCCTACAATATAAGTCTCCAATGAATTTGACCTTTTTGAACAGTATTGAAACAAAAATATCCAGATAGTGTACAATTGCTTATTTTTGTACTGTCAAATTTTAGTGGTTTGAGGGTACAGTATTCATTTGTGGGGATCTAATTTGGTGGTCAGAAAGTTCTATATGAAATAATTTTTCTGCCTTTAAACAGCTGGCAAAGTAAAATATAAATACAAGACCTTCTTACGTTGTCTGAATTATTGACGTGTAAATCACGCAGACCTGAATGCAGGCATATTTTTCATGAAGTGTGTGTTATAAACAGTATTATATACATAATTTATATTATTATAAATGACTGTGTGGCATTGTTAAAAAAAATATTAAATTTGTTTATTAACTTAAATGGAATTACTATTTTGCAAAGCTAAGTAAATTTAAGGCTAGTCTTTGTGGATTCTTTCAATTCTTTCAAAAGATCATACATTAGGTGAGTGATTTCAACATCTGTAATCCACAGTGACATTGTTTCTAACAATTGGCAGCACACTATTTTACTTCTGGAATATACACTGGTTCTATTAATAGCTTACCTTATCTTCGTGTACATATTTGACCTCTTGTTGAGCTGAGGTTATTGTACAAATGGCAATACCTGCCGTAACCAAGGCAACAGACAAATATTTAGCTCTTGAATACCTATGAAAAAATATCAATTGAATAGATCAAAAACTGTTCCATTATGTAAATAATATATCTTTTTCAATAATTTTATAAATGATAGCTTTTTATTCTTACTGCCTTCTTTATACTTATCTAGAGCTATACTAATTTACATACTTTCTTTTCAGGATAAGTACACCTAGCATCAAACTGGGGATCATGGAACCCTGGAAAACATGTCAACTCGTTCAATTAAGTCAGTGAAAAATATGCTTATCTTTAATACTTGACAATTTCCCACAAAATTTACTTTTTCCTCATTATTACAAAACATGGTATAATTCACCATATTCATTCATCCAATACATTTTAGAATTTATACCCAAGATGCATGTAACCAGTTTAATAAATAATGTCTTAATTATGCTCTGAATTAGATTTTTATAGCTATAATATATAGACACACAAAACATGTGGAATACATAACATTTTAAACTTTTTCCATAAAAACTTATTTCCATTAATTTCTATAAAACGAAGTTAAAAAATCTCACTAATCCAGATCTTAGGCTTCAGATGCAACTAATTATTTTGATAAATATAATAACTTACTGCTCTGAATATCATTTGTAGAGGTATAGAAACACGGAACATATAGGCTGCATTGTTTGCCACTTGGACTAGGAAAAAGTACACCACCATGCCAAAATACTGCCTGTATAATATAATACAATAATATAATGAAAACTGTACACTCTGTTACTCAGTACACAGTAAAATATTCCAGAAGGCTATTGAATTCAAATTCAACATTTCGTAATCAGTTCCTGACCAGTCTCTTTTTCTTTTTCAAAATCATTTTAAAGTTCCACATATTCCTTTCACACAGCGCATTTATAAACATTTAGTGATTTACATACATATATATCATCATCAGTTACTATATTATTTTAGCTGAACACAACTTCTCAACAATCACAATTACCTTATAAAGTAAAAGAGTATCATGGCTGTATTTTTTTTTTTCATTTAAATAAATATCATAATTTTCTCATTCGTGGTATCATCTAAACCACCTGGTCTTTGATGATTGGAAAGAACAGGGCCACTAACCTGAGAGGTATCTTGGGGGTAACTGTGAAAAACTTGGAAGTAGTTATGAGGCCCTCACAGGAAATGAATAAGAACTGTGAGAATGTTATCAGATTCCCAGAAGTTGGAAAAGCACTGAAAAAACATAAAGTTCTGCAACTCAAAAGCACTCAAAACAAAATCTTCACTGGATTTTACAACAGATTCCCTTTGATAATTATTATTGATAAAATTACTTTGAAACTAAACAATTCATTTTGAAAAGGATTTCAGATATACAGTTGCACAATTTGATATATTCATTTATTAGTTAAGAGCTCTGGCACAATGTCTTGAGTAAGTTCTAAAATTTTGGGGCTATTAATGAGTGCTTCTTGAATGAAATTATAAAGGTCAGTTTTGGTCAACAGGATAATTGATTGGTAATAGTTCCACACGTTGTGACTCTTTGTTTATTTTTACAAGAATGTTTTTGTAAAAAGACTGTATTTAAAAAGCACTTTTTATCAAGCTATTTTGAATACCTTAATAAAGTATAGCTATTTCAATCTATATAGCTTAATCAAGAGATTGTGCTTGACCTGGTTTTTCAGGGTAATGAAAATTATTTTTGATGCACTGTATTAAATAGATGTTTTCTTTTAATTCACATTATTTTCCTCACACCTTTATACACCAGTACGATACATCAGAAAACCTGATCTGTTCTTTTTGAACAGGTTGGGACCAATCGCCCAAATGGGATATAATAGTCTGTTTGGGACATAATATCCCAAATGGGCTATAAATACGCATCAGTACACTTAAAAAGGAATAACATTTGGTTGACAAGTTTTCTTGTATGCCCATTGTTAAGGAGATTGATCCCTCAGAAGTTCCTTAGCTTCTTGGGGATCAATCTTAAAAACAGTAGGGTTGCAGAAAAACTTACTTACCAAAAGTTATTCCTTTTTAAGTGTTTTGATGCGGAATTATGATATATATTGCCAAAATAAAAAATTTCAATTTTTGCACTGTAAATTTATAGCCCATTTGGGATATTATATCCCAAACGGGCTATTATATCCTATTTGGGCGATTGGTCACAACCACAGGTGCTTGAGGACAGGACCCCCCCCCCCCCCCCCCCCCCCGCAATATAGACCCCCCGGGCCTGTTAGACTTTTTTCACATAAATTATATATGGATGACACATTTGTGATATAATCTATCCTATCCATTCGGAAAATTTGCTTAAATAAACATTTTATAAAAATTTCTACCCCACTCTCTATATATAAATTAACAAGGTTGCCAACTTCGTTTGCAAACCGAGAGGCACAGCCGAGAATTTTGGTTGAATGGTCTCATAAATCTAAACAAAGCCCTAAAATCAACAACTCATATTGTAAATTGAATAATCTTTTCATTAACCACCAACTCTCATGAAGGTTAAGGCACTTTAACAGTCGTTATGGTCAGTTTTCCAAAAGGATGTCAGGCTACAGTCAGCGTTTCAGCTTAATGAACGGAAGTGACGAGGAGACGACTTTTTACCGAAATACACAGTTCTGCAGAAAGTCTGAAACACTGTTTTGAAATAAACATTTGAAGAAATTTGGTTGATTTACATTTTAAAAAATGTCTTTCAAATGTATTGGAAGAAGAGAGTTCTAAACTGCTGATGTAAATGAAATATTTTTAATTATTTTTAAATACCTGATTTGCATGTATCGGTTTTGAGAGTTATGCCCTTTTAAAAATACAATTTATTAAAATACCTTCTTTTCCGTAAATATTTCGTGTAAAATCTACAAAACATTTGAAAATAATATCTTTATGAAGAATTCGTTCAAAAACACAAGAATATATCCATTGTTGATTTCTTACACGCATACTTGGTTATATGGGGTACATGGGTAATTAGTCCTCTCCTCATCACTTCCGTTCGATAAGCTTTTTACGGAGTTGGCAACCTTGTTGATTTTTATATACAATGTAGGGCAGATTTTATAGAACGTTTGTTTTAGGTAATTCTTCGATTTGTTGGTATAGATCTTATCACAAATATGTCAATGAAAGATTATTTCTGAGAAAAAAGTCGAAAAAGCCCATGGGTCTATTTCGAAGGGGGGGGGGGGGGTCCTGTCCTCAAGCACCTGTGGTCACACCTGTTGAAAGAAGTTCATCAGGTCCCGCACAATCTCTTGATTAAGCTATATAGCTTGATTTAGCTATATATAGCTTCATTTTAAAAGCTCTTCGGAATAGCTTGATTAAGCTATTTTATCAGACTTTTTTCTCAAATGTGTTATTTTTTAAGCATGTGCTTAATCAAGAGATTGTGCTGGACCAGTTCATTGGACAAAACAAAATGGCTCAGAGCCACCAGTGGCTGTAATTTGCTTATCATTACCTAATTAAATACTCAAGGAATATCATGTTACAACAGCATCCTATGAAGACGAACGCTATAGCTATTGCTGGATTCATTTTTATCAGTTTAAAGCAATCCACTGGTGTTTTTTTGAATCGTCGGCTTAAAAATGTTTTACTTCCGGTGTGTAATTTCGGTTAACTCGAACATCAACCAATTCGTACTTTAGATGGATATTGAACTTTTAAAGAAGATTGGCAAGGAAGTTAAGCGGAATGCTTATAGGCCTACAATAAAGGTGAAAAATTAAATCTCAAATCTTTTATATTTCATCAATCGATACCTCAAAAGGGGGGATCCAACTTCTTCCAGTCCCATTTTTCATTAATATTTTCAGAACATTTTCTATATAGGCCTAATAAAATCTTTAAAGAAGTTGGGGTCACCCACCCACCCAACCGACCGTGAACCCCCCCCCCTCTCTCTCTCTCTCTCTCTAAAATCACACAGCAGTGTATTTGTGGAATTTCAATTTAATTTTCTTTTGCACTATTATTCATTAATTAAAGGATATCTAAAAATCTGATATTTTTCAAAGTGAATTTGTATATCATAAAAATGATTTTGAGAACAATTAGACCTATTAAAAATCCATAATTTTCAATAATGATAAAATTTTGAACTGGGAAACGAAAATGGACTATTAAGTGAATATTCATTAATAATATGTAATTTAATTAAATAAATCCTCATTTTAATTAAAAATATAAGTAAATTAACTTACTAATTTAATAAGATTTTAGTGTGTTTATAATCATCTTAAATAGCGAGCGTCAAGTGTCTAAGCAACTTATAGAACACGAGTTAGTCCATGTACAAATTAGCTCGATTCTCTAACCCCTTATATCACCAAGAAAATAAAATACTTGATTATTGTTTTTAATAACATCTTAAATGATTGCATGAAATTAAACTTGAATTATTTAATCAATAAGGATTTTTGTGATAAAATCAAAAAATAATTGAGTGAAAAAGTATTCTTAATGTTTGATGTGTTGAGGTAAGCGGCCAACTTTAGAACACAATGGAAGATGGAAGATGACCGAAATTGTCTAAGCCTTTGGTAAGGAATTATTTGATACTAAACCAGTTAATTGTTTTGTGGGAAATAAGCAGCAATTTGATTGTGTATCTGTGTTTATTTTATGCACATTGTGTGAAAACAAAGAGCCTGATTTTTTTAAGTACTCTCAGAAGATCTGCAAAGTTGTCAAGGTCTGTGCTAGAAACTTAGTAAATATTTACTTTTTGGATTCTTTAAACAGACAATTTTACTGATTTAATTTTTAATCAACTTATGTCCTATGTTATTCTTATTGTTCAAATTTGCAGTATGAATGATTAGCTAGGTGGTCTGAAAAAAATCAGGAATGGTCATGACAAGAGCTTTAGTGCTGTCTACAAAAAATATTAAAGCTATATATGGCGTATCTGAGGTAAAAAAAAAAATACGAGATTAAGCAGAGATTTACGCGATATTTGTTATAAATTTACATTCAAATTAAAATTTTCACCTATCTTGAACATAAATATCCCCTCGTTTCTATTACTTAAATTGACTTAAAAATAAGTCTGTTATTTATTTCCGAGTCGGAAATAATTCTATTATTGTTCTAAAGTCTGTGATAACTTTGAAACGCAATTGATTTAAATTGTGTAATTTACAGGAAAGTCTTCTCTTTATATAAAGTAACAAAACAAATAGAAAGATCTTTTTAATTTAAGATAGTCAGAACTTATCAAAAATACGCCATATATCACTTTAAGTTTGGTAAATGAACATAGACATTCTTAGACAACCAAATTTCCGAAATATTGGTTGTTAACAAAGTTGTGAACTTGCCTCTGAATCGGACTCTGAGACAGAGGATATTTATGATGTCACAGCCTTCCCCAAATTTTCTAAAATCCCATGATGACAGCATTGTATCAAAATATTACATCAGATCAGTGTAATAAAGTCTTCGTCGAATCTTTTTTTCAGCACATGCCCTTCGGGCAGGTGTAACCACCAATTATGCTTGTCCAAACAAATATTTACATGCCCAGAACTTGATCAAATTATTTTACTCTTTCTTGCCTTTGCATGCCAAGGAAATTATCCAAAATCCATTCTATTGATCTATTGTCCATTAATATCGTTTTCAACCTGTATACTTTTTGCATCTCCTTTGCAAAAGAGTTCCTTGGCAGAAATCTTTTTTTCGCTGTCAGTCATTTGGAATGACTGCCATGCGAGGTTTGTCAGTCCAGACAGATTTCTATCAGTCCAAAAAAAATTCAATAAAAAGATGAAAACTGTATTTGAATTTTAATATCAAGACATTGTGCACCAAGCGTCAATAAACAATGCACACTTCATGCAGATTTCGATCGTCAAATAACAACTTTCTTTTAATTCTCGTTGGGGTCCATTTTCCTCACAAGTTTTTATTAATCTACTTTTCATGTAGTTTGATTTTCTCACCTGGCTTACCTTAGCACCGTCAACAAACTAGTTTACCAATGATAGTTTGGTACTTGTGTTCATCGAAAAAGCCATTACAAGATACAGAAAAGCGTTTGAAAGATTACGATCTGTCAGTTATAGGGAATTTGTACAAAATTTGGTCGGATTGTCGAAGTTCCTCTGTCAACACTTACTTGTCATGAATGTTTTTATCGGTTTTGCGGACAGGACCGAAAGATTTCAAGAACTCTGCCTTGGAAATCACGGCAGAATAAACTGTCCTTAAAATTTTGTGCTTCTTTAAGATCTATAGATGGAAAATCAAACACTTTTAAGTACATTTAATGTTATAGGTCTTATTTAATGTGATTATACAGTCGAGGCTAATATGGCTCAGAATTTACATGCCCTTCAGGCTTGTTAGTGTACAGTTTCCACATGCCTGCTTCCAATTTTACCAGGTCACGGGCTTTGGACTCCCGGGATTTTTCAAAGACTAGTAATATAAAAATTTATATTATAATTAATATTAATGATATGATTTTTAATTAGCACATATTTGTCTTCTAGAATTTGTTTGAAAGTATGTAAATTTGATCATAATACTGATGATAATAGACATGATAGAGAAGAAATTTCTCAGACCTTTATAATGGACGGTCAACTATTAAAATTTTGAAAGTCTTACTGTCTAGAGATAAAAAAAGATTGTGCATTCTTCTGACAGAACATGAATTTTCAACATTGTACTCTGTGTGCTGGGGTTGGTTGATAAAAGTTAGTGTTGAAAGAGCCAAGACAAAAAAAATCATTTTATACTTAGAAAATGGTTATGTTTCTTCTTTATAATTTACCTGTTTTCAGTTGTTTATTGTAGATTTATTTTATTTTTCAATTATGCTCAATTATTATTGTGTTAATAATCAATCATTGATTATAAAATATTGATTCCCATCTCTACAGTTTAGTGATATGTCAAGAACTGAATCAATTTAAGCTGTGTACACATTTACACCGCATTCAATGCTTGTGTAGTATGTGTTATGCAGTGCCTGTTATGTGGAAATGTATAATGGATGTGACATGTCTTTTATAAACAGAAAACTGCATATAAAGTTTTTAAAAAGCACCATTACAAAAAACACTTTTTACTTCATTTGTAAATATTGTTTCTATGAAGTATTTTTATGACAGATATAGGAGATATATATATAATATATATGTATTCTATGTTGTTTGCTTGGTGTGATTTCTAATGTCTAAATCCGGCATCAGAATTTGAGGATCAGTGGGATTTTGCATATATCACTTTACTGTCCGATCCCCCTCCTACTGCAGGAGAATGGAGGATGGGCTTAATCAGACTTTTTCCTAAGTCTATCTCTCCCAGTTGCTAGACTCTCCGTATTCCTTAATGACAGGCTCAGCAACATCCACCACCACCCCTCCCCCTAGCAAATATAAAATATTTGACCGGCGCGCCTGCAATCTACTACTGAATTCCCAGTTAAGAAAGTCACCAATGTTCACAATTTTGTGATAGATATTCCTATTTGACAGAGTTTATTTACTAGGACTAACAAGCAACTCGATCTGTACAATTTCTTTTTAAAGAATGAGGGGAAAATATGAAACAATCCATCCATTAACCAAAATCTGTTGTTAAGAAATGTCCTTTTAACATTATTTCTGAAAGCAGTAAACTTTTTTTTGTACTTAAAAAAGATATAAATTATAATCAATACTGTATTTTAACTTTTTCATCTCTTGTCTTTAGTGGTTCTGAATGAAATTGTTTTAAATGCAACCTTGTTATTTGAACTCCTACTATTCCAATTTATTTGAAAAATGTTGCATTTATACTTAGCTATTGCACAATTATAGTTTGGATGCTGCAGGCATGTTTTCTAGTTCAGTTATCAGATTGAATATTGGGGACACGCCTTGCTTCCAAATGATTATATTTATCAAAGTAATTACTTGCATTGATGCAAAATTCAGTCAAGTGTGAAAGCTTCCATTGTAAGCTTTCTTAACTGCTTGTGATCAAGAAATTCATATAAGTAAGGATTATTGAACAAAACAAAAATAGGGGAAATCTTACATAAATGAAAAGGATATAGACCTTTTATAGCTTTATTTAATGAGAAGACAATCTCTCTAGTTGTTGAATGCATATTTGATACAGATTACAGTGAAATTGATGTGACTTCCAGTGTTCGTATTATGAAGATAATGAACAATTTCAGAAGTCTACTGAAACTTTATATATATTGTAAGCAGAGCAAAGGCAGACCTCCAAAAAACATCAGAGGTGGGATCAGGTGCCATGGAGGAGTAAGCATCCATTGACTCCAACTGTGTGTATCTTGTCATGATCAGGAGATCGGAAAAATCTTTGGACAATACATGTGATTCTAAAGAAATTTACATTATTGATTTACTTATAGTAGAAAGAGGGTATAATTTGATATCCATTTGTTTTCTCTGGGAAATAAAGTTTTTTTTTATAGACTTGTTTGATTCCTGTGTTAGTGATAAAAGAGAGCAGTATCCTTAATTAAAAGTGATCTATATTAATTAACATACAGAAATAGATCAAGGATTAAGACTAAAGTATTGCCCTGCATGGCAGCACCAATGTAAGCT